GCACCAGGAGCAGGTGCGCCTGAAAGTGAAGGGGTTGTGGCAGCGTACACCAGGGCCATCAGGGGCAGCACCGCAGCAGGGGCTGCCATCTGTCCCTACTTCCCCGCCCTCGACCGAATCCTGGGGGGCGGAGCGGTCCACGCCAGCCCAGGAGGCAGCGAGCTGGGACCTGAGGACCCTGACCTGGGTACCACAGAGGGGCCACGACCAGCTGTCCTGGCACCGGAGTCGGCAGGGTCATCCGGGGAGGCCATACCAGGTAAGTGCCATCACTGTTCCCTAACTGAAGGGGGAGGCGGGGAGGGAGACCAGGGACCGCATGCGTGGGCCATGCCTCCCACGGATCACGCAGTCATCTGTGCACGTGCGAGCACGTGCCGTGCCACCCTTGGGCAGGTGGCTCCAGCTGTGTGCCACACGGACCGTGGCCCGATAGGCACACGCATGTGTGAAGAGACCTGACATGCTCCCAACGCCGAGGCAGGACCCAGCAGGACACCCTCCCTTCACATGCCCCCTCTACACAGAGGCAAGGGACATCTCCCCCCTGCCTTGGCCAAACTATACACGGCACAGGGGCATGGATGCAGGCTCGGGGCAGCTCCCACTCCTGGGCAGAGCCGGACATGACGCCCATGGCCTCTGTGCAAGCACATCGGCTGTGACGGTGCAGGGCATGGTCACCCTCACCTCACCGGGGGGGCGGGGGGGGGCCTGGGCATCATCCACTGTGTCCCCAGGGAGAACTGACCACTTTTCTTTTTTCTCTACAGCCGTACCAGCTGCTTGTGCAGGGTGCACCACCCCGCCCGGGACATGCTCCCGCACCTGCACCCTCAGCAGGACCACCACCACGCGGCATGGGTACAGAGAGCAGCACCTGCAGGCCCTGTGAGCCCAGTCCCGGATAATGGAGCAGCGGGCGCAGGACGACCGGGAGTTCCAGTGGGAGCTGCTTGCTCAGGGTCGTGCCATCTGTCACCATCTCCAGGCCCTGGTGCAGAGCATGCTGCCTCGTGCCGGTCCTGCGCCTGCTGCTCCCCCAGCTCCTGCTCCTCCTCCCACTCTTTCTTCCCCTCCCACTTCTTCCTCCTCAACCTCCACACCCTCCTCCCCATCCCCCCGGGGACGCCGAGGCCACCTCCCCCGCCGTGCTGGGAGGCGGTTGGCCCAGCGAGACCCCCACCCCTGAGTGCTGAGCTTCCCCTCCCCCTTATTCCCCTTGCTTCCCCCTTCCAGCTCCCTCCTCCAAGTTTTTCTCCTCCCCCTCCTACCCTCTCTCCTCCCCTCCCACCTCCTTTGCCGAGTCTCCTCAGAGGTTCATCTCCCCCACCCCCCCAGTTGTGTTAAATAAAGACAGTTTCTATTTTTGAAAACACGTGTATTTTGTTTGACATCAGGAAGGGGGGGTTAGGGAAGGGTAAGTGGAAGAACGAGAGGGAGGAATGGGGCACAAGACCCCAGTGGGGCAGACCGGTGAGACTGTTAGCGCTCCTCAGGGTGGAAGCTCTTGCAGGGCCCCCTGGATCCTGACAGCCCCTCGATGGTCCTCCCAGATGGCAGCCTGCAGCCAGTGCAGCCAGGCTGCCGGCAACGTGTCCACGTGACGCAGCACAATCCCCAGGGGCAGGTCTGGTTCCATGTTGCAGAGTCCCGAGTGAGGGCAAGCAGAGCACTCTGAGACAAAAATACTTTTCTGTCCCTCAGCAAGCCACGAAACCTTAGAACTGTCTGTCCGAGATGGGGGGGTCGGGTCACTTTAAGCACAGACATCGGATAGCCTGAGGCAGCAGCCCCACACACTAAGTCTGACCCCAATGCCCTGCCGGCGCTGGTTCCGCCTTAAACTTCAGTTCAGGGTCCATTCAGGTGTGGACGTGCTATTTCGAAATAGCAAAACGCTATTTCGAAATAGTTTTTGTGTTTAGATGCGTTATTTCAAATTAGCTTAATTCGAATTAACTAATTTGAAATAAGTTAATTCGAACTAGCGCTGTAGTGTAGACATACCCTTAGTGTTTCGCTGGTGCTCCCACCCAGGAGAATTAAATTCCTCCAGCTCCAAATGATTCTTTGTGTGAAACAACTCCTGGAGCCCCAGCTCCTGAGCCCAAGCCTTCCGTCAGGGCCAAGCCGAGAGCAAGGACCAGGGAAGCACAATCATAGTTTGTTCCATTCGTTTCAGCCCTTCCTTAGGTCCTATGTTTTGTCATCTAGCAAGGCTGTCCTCAGCTGCCTCCAGAAGAGGTGCCGGCTTATTTCCTGGTCCCTCCACTCGAGGTAGGTGTTCCTCCGCAGGTAGCGGGACAGCCCCAGTTTGCGTCGCAGCAGCACCTTATCCACTTCCTCCAGGACAATCATGATGAGACTGGCTTTGCCGTCTACAAACTGCCAGGACTGGGCGATCTCCAACTCAAAGCTGCACCACTTGCTCTCCATGAAGTGGTTGGAAATGACAGCGATGACTCTCCTGCTGCTTAGGAACCCTTCCTGGATGATGTTGGTAGTGATGGGCACCCCTGGAATGAAGTCCCGGTAGTGGAGGCAGAGTTGAAAGGGGGGCATGCCCCCCTCCAACTTCTCAGCCAGCTCCTTTCTCACCCACTCAATGTCCTTGCTGGAGTGGATGACAAAGGCATCGTAGGTGTCGTTCCTGTCCGTGTAGCGCCTGCACCCGCTGTGCAGCACCAGCCCATAATAGAGGAGGAAGTAGTACTTGTAAATGAGGATCACGAACAGAATGCCAGCAAAGGGCACGCTCACCGACATGACCCACTCAACGGGGCTGAGATGGCAGGAGGAGAGGTCGAAGCTCAGCACACTCATATTCTGCATGTGCACAGGGTTGTTGCAGACCATCAGCTGGGTGCTCTTGAGCAGCTCCCCATGCTCCTTGGCCCATTTCAGGAAGCTCAGGTGGTTACAGGAGCAGTCAAACAGGTTGTAAGAGAGGTCCAGGTGGACCAAGCAGCTCGGCAGGCTCTCCATAGCCTTTTCGGTCAAGACAGTCAGCTGGTTGCTGCTAAAGTCCAGGACAGTGAGGGCCTGAAGAGGCTTGTAGGCCAGGGGGTCAAAGGCCAGCAGCTTGTTGTGGCTGATATTTAGCTCTTGCAATTTAGTAAGGGACTTGAATGTGCTCGGAGACACCTGCGTCAACTTACAGCTGGAAACGTCCAGGGTGAGCAGCTGGGTCAGGTTCATGAGGCTGTTGCCCAGATTGTTGTCCTGAAAGGAATTGCCAGCCATCTTGAGCACTTGCAGGGACTTTAAGCCACTGAACGTACACTGGGACGCAATGTGAGAGCTGGTGTAGGAAATATCAAGGTAGATGAGTTTCCCAAGACAGTGAAAGACAGGGAAGCTGCCAAAATCATTCAGCTTTGAATGGCGGAAGTCCAGAGACACCAGCTCAGTGATATTCAGGCCTCCGGTCACGCTGATGATGGAGTTGAAGCTCAGGTTTAAGTGCTTCAACTTTGGGATCCGCTTCAGGTATGAGTCGCAGCACTGAATGAAACTGAGCCGGTTCACACTCAGATCTAGGACCTCCAGGTTAGGCAGATCCTTAAACTTCTCCCGGAAGCCAGTGAGGTATTTGCTATTGGTGATCCGAAGCACTCTCAGCTCTTTGAAGGAGGACAACTTCTTGGCAGGCACCTCAATAAACTTGCAGGTGTTGAATTCCAGGTGGTGTATTCTGGACGCAGTTGGGACCGCTGACACCTGATCGAGGGAGAGATCCACCAGCCGAATAGTGGAGGCATTGACCAGGCAATCAAAGAGAGTGTCGGTACAATTATCAAACCTCTGGAAGCTAATGAACACAAACTCCTGTAGCTGCACCTGACACAGTCCATCCAGGAGCCCATTACTAAAGTCCTCCACTCTCCCTATGTTCCTGAATTCCCCAAGCACTAGTCTGTTGACCTGCAAGCCAGCAAGGCCTTGGATGCAAGCCTTCATAAGACCAGTGTTCTCAAAACAAGCCCTCAGAGATAGCTCATGAAGAAGAATCCCCTCAAAGGAGCCCGGCTGAATACATTTTATATCATTGAGTGAAAGGACTAATGTTAGGTTGTGCTTCTTCTCTCCCTGTAAAGCAGCCAGGTCTCCTGTGGAGATAGATGAGATCCTGTTGGACTTCAGACTCAGGAACCGGAGAAGAGACAAGTGGGAGAAATACCCGGGGAGCTTCAAAGAGTCCACTTGGTTGTTGGCCACATTCAGCTCCTGCAGAGTATGTAAATGTCCAATGGGCAGGTCAGCTAGCGAGGATATGTCGTCTTCCACAGCTATCAGCCTTTGCAGGGATGCCAAACCATAGAAGGCTGTTGGACCCAGGTGCTGGAGGGGATTTGCAGTCAGAATCAAGGTGAGCAGCTTATGCAGATCCTTAAAAGCATAATCTTCAATTGTCTGGATGTGACATCTGGTATGCAAGAAAAGAGAACAATATACATGAAGCATTCTCACTTCTGTCACACACCCGCACGTACACACGGGTAAAGCGTTACTGCACTGGGAAAAGACATAGTGTCTTTTATGCCAGGTGCACTTGGATGCACAGCATTACCAAGGTAGGCAGCTTTGCAGACACAGAATTATCAAACCGAGGGCAATATTATCACACCAGATCTATGTGTGAACACAGTGTTATCACCCAGAGATGCAGACCTGCCCAACCAGGCAAAAAGAAATCAGCTTAGTGGAAAGGAAATGAAGGCTGACACAGAGAACATGTCTCTTGCATCTCCTCTGCCCTGCCTGAATCTGGAATTAAATCTGAAAGCAAGGGATTTACAGAGCTGTCTACAGGCAGGCTTCTTTTAGCACCTCACAGTCCTAATCAAAAGCACCCGTTAACTTCTAGGGTTTCCTTACCACCAAAAGGCTTTAAAACAGAAGCTGAGATTTTACCAGGCACCTAGGGGAGCCAGATATCTCATTCCATTTCAGTTTCATGGGAACTGGACCAATTTCCTCAGGCCACTTTGACAATCTCAGCCTTCGTTTTTGGAATGAAAGGAAACAAACTCGGTACAGAGTTACCAAAAATAACAGGAAAATTATGTAACTACATCGTGGTGTGGATTTTCTGTATATAACTGAATCTGCTTGGGACTGTCTGCAGTATTTAAACCCAGAAGTCTAAAAGCATCAGCCTCTCTTGCTGAAACTAGCAGACTAAAAACACCACAGTGGGAAGCAATAGTAGACTTGTACACCCCTTGAGTGATTCAGACACAAAATGTGGAAAAAAACCCACATTCTTGTGGTCTAGTGGGATTCAAGCCCCATGGTCGGTTCCCATTGATAACAACAGCATCTAGTTCTCCTATAGTGCTTTTCATCCATAGATATCAAAGCACTTTAGAAAGGAGATCATTATCCCCATTTTACAGATGGGGAAACTGAGGTGCAAAGCAGTGATGTGCTTTGCATTAGCTCATCCAATAGAGCACTGGCAAAGCAAGAAATAGAACCCAGTTTCCTGAGTCCTAGTCCAGTGCTCTGTCCACTGGGCCAACTGCCCCATCACCAAATCTCCTCTGTAACCCATACGCTCTATGACCAATCCCACTTAATTGAACAGCCAGTTTTAAGCCCTGGCTCTTCAGCACCACACACAGGAACCTTTACCATATGGCCTGAAGGTCTCAGGTCTTGATTGAGCAGTCCATCCCTATTCAACAACGGTAAACCCAGGCTTAAGTGCTTTGCCAAAGGGGGGGTGTAGTTACACATCTGCTCAAACACCTGGGGTATGTCTACACTACAAAGTTAATTCGAACTAACAGACGTTAGTTCGAATTAACTTTGATAGGCGCTACACTAGCAAACCGCTAGTTCAAACTTAATTTGAACTAGCGGAGCGCTTAATTCAAACTAGGTAAACCTCATTCTACGAGGACTAACGCCTAGTTCGAATTAAGTAGTTCGAATTAAGGGCGGTGTAGCCACTTAATTCGAACTAGTGAGAGGCTAGCCCTTCCCAGCTTTCCCTGGTGGCCACTCTGGGCACCACCAGGGAAAGTCTTCTGCCCGCCTCCCAGCCCTGGAGCCCTTAAAGCTGCCAGCCTGGCCACCCAGGAGCAGGTTTGCATGAAAATCAAGGTGGTCCACTGAGACCCCCGACCCTGAGCCCTGAGCCCTGAGCTTAGAATGGCCGTACTGGGTCAGACCAAAGGTCCATCTAGCCCCGTAGCCTGCCTTCCGACAGCGGCCAACACTAGGTGCCCTGGAGGGGATGGACCGAAGACAATGACCAAGCCATTTGTCTCATGCCATCCCTCTCCAGCCTTCCACAAACAGAGACCAGGGATACCATTTATACACCCTGGCTAATAGCACTCCATGGACCCAACCTCCATCACTTTATCTCACTTCTCTTTAAACTCTGTTCTAGTTCTAGCCTTCACAGCCTCCTGCAGCAAGGAGTTCTACAGGCTGACTAATTACTTTGTGAAGAAGAACTTTCTATTACTAGTTTGAAGCCTGCTACCCATTCCTTTCCTTTGGTGTCCTCTAGTCCTTCTATTATGGGAACTAATGGAGAACTTTTCTTTATGCTCCCTCTCCACACCACTCATGCATTTATAGACCTCTATCCTATCCCCCCCCCCAGTCTCCTCTTTTCTAAGCTGAGAAGTCCAAGTCTCTTTAGCCTCCCTTCATATGGGACCTGTTCCAAACCCCTGATCATTTTAGTTGCCCTCCCCTCTCCCACCTCCTTTTCCCAGTCTCCCTGAGTTTTGTTCAACAAAGAGAGTTACTATTTTTGATCGCACGTGTCCTTTATTTTGTACATCAGGAAGGGGGGCTATGGAAAGTAAGTGGAAGGAGGTGAGGGAGGAATGGGGTACGAGCCCCCGATGGGGAGGACTGGGGTGGCTCTGAGGGCTCCTCGGGGTGGAAGCTCTCCTGCAGCCCCCCCGATTCACCCCCCTCCCCAGGGTATGTCTACACTACCCCCCTCGTTCGAACTAGGGGGGGTAATGTAGTCATACGGAGTTGCAAATGAAGCCCGGGAAATTCAAATCCCGGGCTTCATTTTCAACTCCGTATGACTACATTACCACCCCTAGTTCGAACTAGGGGGGTAGTGTAGACATACCCCCGGAGGGCCGCCTGCAGCAAGTGCAGCCGGGCTGATGGCCGAGTGCTGTGATGTGTCTAGATGCACTAGGTCTAATTAGCTTAGTTCGAATTATCTAATTTGAATTAAGTTAGTTCGAATTAGTGCTGTAGTGTAGACATACCCCTGGACCCAGGTTTAGAGTCTTAGGGTATGTCTATACTACCACGCTAGTTCGAACTAGGGTGGTAATGTAGGCAACTGGAGTTGCAAATGAAGCCCGGGATTTGAATGTCCTGGGCTTCATTTGCATCTCGCTGGGCGCCGCCATTTTAAATGTCCGCTAGTGCGGACTCCGTGCCACGCGGCTCGGAGTCCGCTCTGGTGGACATTTAGAAATGGCGGCGCCCGGTGAGATGCAAATGAAGCCCAGGAAATTCAAATCCCGGGCTTCATTTGCAACTCCGGTTGCCTACATTACCACCCTGGTTCGAACTAGGGTGGTAGTGTAGACATACCCTTAGTCCTTTAGTTCCTGCAGCAGAGACTTATCAGGAGTCGGTTACATGTATTTTAGTCATCAGTGAAATCTGAGAGCTGATGGCTAGTCTAAGGGTATGTCTACACTACAGCATTATTTCGAAATATCTTATTTCAAAATATTTAATTCGAAATAAGTTATTTCAAAATAATGCGTCTACACACAAAATGCATTTCGAAATAGCATCCACACTGAGTGGATGCTGAATCACATTTAAGGCTGGCCAGAACCAGGTGTGGCAGGGCATCAATTCAGGAGTTACGATGTTTGACTGCTGCCTGAGGCTATCTGAGGCCTGTACTTAAAGGGACCACCCCCTCCCCTCCGGACAGCTGATTCTCAGCTTTCCCTGCTTGCTTGCCTACCTCGATGAGGAACAGCAAAGCATTTTGTCTCTGTACACTCTGGTTGCCCTCACTTGGGACACCACAACACTCCGCAACAGGGCGCCAGAGCTGCCCCTGGGCTTTCTGGTGCTTCTCGTGGACACGTTGCTGCGAGCCTGGATGTACTTTCTGCAGGCTGACATCTGGGAGGTCCATCAGGGGGCTGTCAGTATCCAGGAGGTCCTGTGGGAGAGGTTACACCCTGAGGAGCATTAAGAGCCTCCCTGGTCTACCCCACTGGGGGCTTATGAATCATTCCTCCCTCATGTCCTACCACTTACCCCTCCCTAGCCCCACTTCCTGATGTAAAATAAAATATATGTATTTTCATGAACACAAACTCTCTTTATTTAACAAAACTTGGGGGGGACAATGAAACTCTGGTGAGACTGGGGAAAGGAGGTGGGAGAGGGGAGACGAGAGGGTAGGAGAGAGTGGGAAGGAGGGAGCTAGAAGGGGGAAGAAAGGGAAAGAAGGGGGAGGGGAAGCTCAGGGGTCATTCCTTGAAAGTAGGAATAAGAGATCCTCCGGAAAAGGCTTTATTTTCTGGAGAATAACGTCTAGACTGGCGCTTTTCTCCGGCTTTTCCCCAAGCCGGAAAAAAA